AAAACAAGAACCCTGGCAGAAACCATCCTTGGAGTACTTTATTATCTTAACCAACACCTTTGCAATCTCAGATCTTGGGGGCAGAGTTGCTCAATGTAATTGAAACGGAAAGCAAACAAGCCTACTGAAAGAGCACAGAAAGGAGAGCCTGTGCCAAGCTCCACTTCCCGCTCACAGTTCCCTGGCCAGCTCTTGTTTTCAAATGCCGCCTAGGAAAAGTGCAACCCTAGACTCAAAAGGAATGGATTTGTTCAGCCAGAAGGAACCAAGCTTGAAGGAGAAACTTTATCAAGTAGAACAGGGCTTTGGAGCTTTGTTTCACTGCCATCCAAACCCATTAGCTAGCAGTCAAAACACACACTCACTGCCATGTAACCCACCCTGATCATCTTCCACCGCAAAGAGTGTGAAACACACACCACACTCAGCCAACAATTTCAGTGTTTGTGCACCCATTATTTTAGAAAGAGCAATGGCAGAAGTGTAGACCATTGTTCTTTAATAGGTGGGGCAGGATTTGTGGAGTAGATTATATGCCATCCCAAATGTTGCACCAACTGTTACTATTTTGTGTTTGTGTGCATAGCTTTTTTGAGGGGGGGCATTGTAGTCATGTACATTGATGGCACTGTATAAATCAGGGGTAGGCAACCTAAGGTCTTGGGGGGCCGGATGTGGCCCCCCAAGGCCTTTGGACCAGCCCCAGGCCGGTCCTGCCACCGCCGCCGCCACCCACCCTGATGATATTGATTGTTTTATTATTACTTGTTCTTGGGGTTTTCTTGGCAAAATCTCCACAGGGGTTTTGCCATGGCTTTTCTGGGGCTGAGAGAATGTGCATGCATATTTTTTTAATTTTTAATTTTTATTTATTTATTCATTTTTGGTGCTTCGGCCCCTCAATTGTCTGAGGGACAGCAACCCGGCCCCCAGCTCAAAAAGGTTGCCTACCCTTGGTATAAATAAATGATAATAAAACAGAGAAAACAAAAGAAAGAAAAAGATAAGAGAAAGGAACTGAGAGACCAGGTACAAATAAGATGGATTCCAAAGTTCATCACAACATCTTAAGAACATGCTGGCTTGTTTGCTTTCCGTTTCAATTACATTGAAAATATGGAGACCCCAAATAATGCAGAGTATGCAGGATGTACCAACAGTTAGAAAGAGAGCAGAGAGGGAAAGCAACCAAGCCTCCCATGAAAGGGAATTTCATAACCTGGGAGCAGCCATTGAGAAGGCTCCCTCCTTCTTCCTCTTAAAAGTCAGAGATTCATAAGGGAGAAACAACTCAAAGTGCCTTACAAATTAAAACAAGTACAAGACAGTTAAAACAAACAAAAAAGCAACATTAAAATGGGGTTAAATAGTTAACAAGACTAAGAACTATTTAAAACGTATTTTTTTTAAAGTAGTTTTAAAAACAATACAATTAAAATAGAGGCTTGGGGTCCTTCCACCTCATCTCTTTATGCACTCTCTGGGTTAAGCAAGAATTAGCATTTAAATATATACAGATATGTTTTGCAAGATCAGGACTTAGCATTGACACACTCGTATGTATAAAAGAACACATCAAAAGCAAGCCCCAAGCTGCCTGGTTTGCATTTCTTTTTCCTGGTTTGCATTTTCATTTTCCAAAATTGGCAGAAAACTGACATGATTGCTCAGGGCCTCAGATTGAATCTATTCCTAACCTTGTTTCCCACACGGAATTCTAATATCAGAGGTTACCTTTGCCATGTCTAAATATGCATATTAAGAAGTGTTAAAAGCTGGCTTCCTCTAGCTAGAAATGTTCTTTTTTCATATATATTTTAAACTAAGAATGTAACAATAAATTTATCTGTGATTTCTCAAGGTTGGCAGTGTAATCCTGAATGCATTTACACAGAGGTAGGAATCACTGAGGCTGCATTGGAGAAATCA